TTTGGGATTGACTGTATAGTCAATACATCCTTAATGAAGATATCTACCTCGCAATTGCAATTTCCTGTATTTATCCGAGTTTCATTACGAATTTACGAATGCTAAATCAGTTTAAGGAGAATGTACGCAGATTTTGAAAGCATGCAGGATAAAATAATATTTGTCAATGCCACGTGTTTAGTACGAAAATTTATTTCTATGATGTAAAATGAGCACCAGATTACATGTAAAGAAGAAACAAGGTTTCATGAACAGAACTTAAGACTAACAAATGCTCGACTGCGTCTGTCCTTCTCACTTCTTCACGAGTCACCTAAAGTGACCTCATCCAACATCCAGGGAAGCCAATCCTTGTCCATCATCAGGCATAATCAGTATTAATAAAACGAAGAAAGTGAACGATGCGAAATTCTTCAGGGCCCTTTTGTCCGATCTTGCGAATATTCAAGAAACGATGAACTTTCTCTACAGTCGCAGGATGCCATCACGTTTTACGATGACTCGAAGCCAGTTCCCCGGATACCTTCAACATCGACCGCCGAGTTTACCAAGAGGAGTAGCCGGTAGAGTAACCAGAGTAAGCGCTCGGCCAGCCATGGCTGTATTTCTCATAGACGACCTGCGGCTGCACGTACGACACTGGGATTTGTTTCACGATCGGGACGGCGTACGGTTGGGCTACTTTGACCGCGTACGGCACCGGAACCTTGACTGGAACGCTGACTGGTACCGGGACTGGTCTGTCGACCGGCACCGGAACGTGCCTGGTCACTTCGACTGGGTACGGTTTCGGGACGTGCACTGGCACGGGACGGTCCACTGGCACTGCCACTGGTACCTAAACAAAATCAAATTAAGTATCTTGTATTTCATTGTTCAATGAAACAAAATTCTCATATGTCATAAATTAAAAATTAATTCCACTTTCACGTCAATTTGTATTATAAGTATGAATTATTTTAATGTTTTCTTATTGTAATTAATAATTCTTTGAAACGCGATGTTGACATAAATGAATACATGGAATATCTGTATTAATATTGTTTTATACTAATACAAACGTTTCATTAATATCATGATTACGAGAAATAATTGCTTGACGGTGAAATGCGATTCTGACAGATGAACGTGGATTATTGCTTGATCGATGATTCCATGTTAAATGGAACTCGGTTTACGTCTTCTGAGAAACGCGCGTGTGGGATTTGTAACGTTCCCGCGTTATGAAATGCCGGCGCTCGTTTATATTGAAACGTTAATTAACGTCGTCCGATCGTGTGAGCGGATATTCGCGATAAACAGAGCGTGATTAGGTGACCGAGGTCCATCGTATTTCTGATTTCGATACGACCGAATTTCTAAATTATAAATATATTTATTTCATTTCAAAAGATAAAATGAAATTGAAAAAAAATTCTGTCTAGCATTGCAATAAACATTTCGATATTTTATCACATATTAAAGTAAAATTTATTTTAGTGCATTTACGAATTATTCGTGTTTAGAGAAAACGGATTACCTTAACCGGAACAGGAATGTGTCTGTCGACCGGGACAGGAACTGGATGCGCTACTGGAACAGCCACTTCCTTGGTCACAACAGAGATAGGTTGGCTGACCGGTACGCTGTAACTACTGTATCCTAGACTGCCATATCCACCGTATCCGCTGTATCCGTTGTACCCGCTGTATCCGTTTAATCCTCCGTATCCTCCGTATCCTCCGTATCCTCCGTATCCCAGATTATAAAGTCCTCGTTTTTCCTTTTTCGTTTCCTGCGCTTCCTGCGCTTCCTGCGCTTCCTGCGCTTCTGGCTTGTCTTCGGCAAAAGCTACTGCCAGGACGGCGAAGATAATAAACAGCTGAAAGACAAACAGAACTTCAAGTGAGAACTACAATTCGCGTACAATAAAATCGGACGATTAAGTGAATTCTAAATATAATTATTATTAAAATTATTTCTGTGAATACTAAAAAATAATTTTATATTTTAACGAGAGAACTTGAAGTCTATAATAGAATTGAGATTGAAAATATTTCAAACGATCACTGAGGCACTGAATTTTTAAATTCTATTACTACGATCTTATTTTTCAACTCGCGATCCTTGGATCGATTCCAACAGCAGCTCACCTTAGCGTTCATGGTGTTGCGCTATTGACGTCGGTTCGTCGTTGTTTTACGACTGATGAGATACCAAGAAGATCCTCAGCTTTTATACGGAGACTACGACGAACCCTTGAGCAAGACGGTGGTGGTGGGCAGTGGCAGACCGACAGAAGCAGAGGAAAGAAATTGGGCGTGGGGGCAAGGGGTCCTCGAAAACCGATCCAAGGCAAAGCGCTTTTCGCTCCGCTTACGAAAAATGTAATTGGCCCTCCTACTCCGAATTGTATCTACCTCAATGTCATCCCAACTATTCTCTCTTCGTCTAATCCACGAAACTTATACTGTTCAATTGCAAAAATTCCAGTTGGGAAATATAATTGGTCCTCAGACTCTAAATTGTTTGTCTCAATATTTTCTTCAGATTTTTACTACTTTTTCATGTGTTTAATTCACACAGGATACGATTTTAAATTGCAAAAATTATAGTTGGGAAGTCGAAATTGTGAAGAAGAATTTTTGGTAAATTCATTTTTCGACAGGAAGTGTTGCGTCGCAACTGCAGGAAAGGTATTTCCCTTTCTTTCAGAACTGAATCCCACAATTACAGAAAGTGACCGAATTTTTTTCAGCTTCACGTAACGTCGTTACATATGAACCGTAACACACGTCAGCTTTAACATAATTATAAACAACGCGTATATCGAGAAGAATGTGACTAGCCTCTATGTATGTTTAATCGTTATGCAAATAAAATGACGCATAATGTAAAAAAAAGTATCAGATTTTTGTAAACAGCGACGCCAGGTCATATACATATAGGAATAATTTTATCACCGGGATTTCCATATTCTTCCAACCATCAAATTTTTAATCAACTCCTTAATTAGTTCATTTTTTATAAAAAGTTCAGCTAACCATCAGAGTGAAAACTAATGATCCTTCCCGAAATTTTCAAATTCAGTTTACATACTTCGTTCCCCTGCGCAGGACTAATTTAATGCAGCAGGGTTCCGGTTGCATTTATAATTAATAGTCGCCGGGTGACGCTGTGAATTTCAAGCTTTCAGCGTTTGACATTTCGAGGATTCATCTGTGGGCGTGAGAGTGGTTAGTTCTGGACCAGACGGACCAGCCAGTGAAGTAAACAAAAGAAGCAGAAGGTCTCGTAGGGAATTTATATGCAGAACCCTCGCATCGAATATCCACATTCCAGCCCAGACTTCGCTAATATCCACTGCGTGGAGTTCCTCTCGTTCACCTTGTACTTATTAGGTCGATTGTTATTTTGTACAGTTAACGCCGATGATTCATTACCTTGATCGGAATAAACCGATTTTTCTAACCCTTTCGCTAGAACCGCTGTACGCAGATAAGACGCAGTTTAGTATTACAAGGACTACCGAGCCTCCAACAATGTTAATTGACTTATTTACTCATAAGCAATCCAAGATTGTTGGCTGCGTGAGTACCTTCGTGTGAAACCTACGATATACTTACTGGGAGAGTAACCCTCTTCAAATTTCTGTGCCATGCATATTCTGGCATTAATAAAAATTTTAATTTACTTAATTATCTTGCAACAATATGAATATGCAAATCAACGTCAATTGTTTAATAATNCCCTTTCGTTACTCTTAATATTATCGAGGCATCTCTGAATCAGGATAAATTCTGAATTAAGTATAAGTCCCTTTTATATCAAATTTTAATAATAATAATAATAATTCTTTATTCATAGACGAGAACCCAATAAAACATACAAAAAACAATCTGCAAAAAATAAGAAAAGGAAAAACATGAATAAAATTCTAAATAACATCACAGGAACCAAGTCAATCAAAGCATAATTCTGATCCATATAAGAGCATTAAAAAATAGTTATTAGGCGAAATCTTGCAAAGAAAATGAGGTCTTTCTTCTTAACAATCATAACTCCATCATGGAACACGTTGAATTTGAACGTGTGATCAATGCGAGGTGGTAACACGAAATGAAATTGATAATCGCATTACAGGTACAACGCGTGCACGTGTGCTCGGATATAAATCTTGATTACCAGCCGTACATTTGTAAGGAGAGCAATTTGCCCCGTTTATGGCCGGCAGAAGGATTGCACGATCAGGCAACGGTTACCAAAAATTTCACGTTACGTATGGCGTCGGGGCCGTATCGCAACGATCTACAACACCGCGCGGGTCACATATTGTCATGAAAATGAGCGTGATCGGCCCGTTATTACGCGTCGGATTTCACTTAAAACTAACCGCTGTCCTATCCGGAAAGAAAGTTTCGTTTTCGTGTGTCCATGTCCAAACCGCGACACATTGGAAAACTAAAAGGGAATAATCGATTGGCCAATCGAATTTCAAAATTCTTAAACGCACGTCGCGATTGTTCGCTTTCTTTTCAAGGGAATGGTCAAATGTTAAAAGGAACGTTTCTACATAATAATAATGTATCATGTACCTAATATATTCTCTGTTTCATCATAAGAATTTCTGTATAAGTTTCTAGTTAATAGAGAATCTGTTAGATGATCTACATAGATCTGTGATAAATGTCGTTTAACATATTTTCGTGTACGTAGACCTCAGATCTGCGGTATGAATACGTTAACATCTGACAAGGTCGTTTCAGGTCTTTATGTAAATTATTTCAGTCCCCAGGGAATAATCAATTTGCAAAATGCACTATTTTAAAATGGAAATCAGATTCAATATTTGATGGACGTTCAAAATTTGTCTACGTTAATTAACTCTATTTAAATACAACTTGTAAACATAATTAAATTGAGTATTTATTTCGCCTTGGAATGAGAATTCGTGAAATCCAACCTATTCCGTAAGGAACTCGTTCCAAAAATGTTTTCGTTCACTTTCATGCTCACTGAGATCGGGACAGTTCTTGCGTAATTACGATGTTACTCGCGTTTTGATTTAACGCGTGGCATTAAAAAGTTGTACAATCTTTCACCGAACTACATGCTGGTGAGTAATCCATCGTCGAAAGTTAAGTGTTCGGGTCGAGACGGTAGTAAGTGACGAGAGATAAAGAAACTGTCTGGCTCTCGGGCTATGATCATGTTTCTTCTCAATAGTAACTCTCTCTACTTCTTGGCTAATTAACTAGAGATCCAATAAATCTTCTTCGGTGAAGCAACGTGTCAACGACGAACGCAATCTGTTTTCACGTTTGGCAGCGATTGTGAAATTGTCAATAGTTTAAAAAGAATTAATGATAGTGATTAAATGATAGTTTATAAAATTTCGAACATTCAGAATGACTAAAATGTACGATGGAAGATTTGAAGTTGCGAAAACTAAGAAGCCGTAAATAGGCACGAATCCATTTGACTTTCCCGGAAAATCGTTCTTTTGTTAAACTCTGAACAAACAAATGGCTATCTATATATAGATGCGTAGATAAGTGGAAACTCGACGGAAAAGTCGACAAGCGTTCCCGTGAACTCCGTGAGATCTTGAAAATCGGAATAGGGTAGATTCCCATATCGCGCGAAATCGCAGTCAAGGTTCGGTTTGAGAACGTTTCCACACAATGGCGGATCAGATAGCGGCACGCGAAACCATGCTACGTAACGGGTTGTCGCTTGAGGAAGTGTCGAAACGTTTCACTCGCAGACAATTAAATAAAATTCTTGATCATCCTCCCCTCGCGTCCAACTTCAATTCGTATCGCCCTAATCAGAATATATCTATTTCACAAAACTACCAANGAATAAGAAACGTTGTTTAAAAAAGATTTATAAAATCAATTTATTTGCATGATTTGTTACTACGGCAGGAGGAGAACTTGTTTTGGTACGGCGCTCGTCATGATGTCTTTTGCGATGCTGTGGAGTGGTTAGGCGAGGACTGGGTGTGGCAGAGATGTTCGAGAGAAGAGGGGGAGAGAAAATTCATTCGTACTTCCCATAACTTTCCTTAAGGAGGATGGGCTGCGGGATCGCGATTTTTTCCTTAAGAAGGATGGGCTGGGGGACCGCGATTTTTTCCTTGAGGATTATGGGTTGCGGGACCGCGACTTTTTCCTTAACGAGAATGGGCTGGGGAACTGCAACTGGGTACGGTCTGTCGACTGGAACCTGTAAATTCACGATTATTGAATATCGACGAGTGTTCTCTAATGAAACAATTATGCAAATTAATTACTGAGAGCTTTTCTCACCTTAACTGGGTACGGGACGCCAACGGGGACCTTAACTGGAACTGGGACCTTAACTGGGTAAGGGACTGGCTTCTCGACTGGGACCGTGATAGTCTTGGTCTGCACTACTGGGTACGGTTGGGGCACTGGGACCGCAACCGGGTACGGCTTGGAGACCTCAACTGGCACCTAGAAGAGACACGATTCAAATGCATCAGATCGGTCGATCAATTAAATCCGAAAGATCGATGAGAGATTCAATGACGAAACTTTTATGCAGATCTGAGTACGCAGTGAGGCAATGGAAAAACGTGAGATTAATAGAGCGTAAGTAGTTTTGCAATTGTGCGTCCGTCGATTTTCTCACCTTAACTGGGTACGGGCGGTCGACGGCGACTGGGTATGGCTTCGGTACTGGATATGGGACAGCAACGGGCTTCTCTTTGATAGCTATAGCGATCTTTCCATATTCTTCACCATATCCTCCCCCATAGCTTCCTAAATCCCCAAGCGAGTACAGTCCACGTTTTTGGACCGTCTTCTCTTCGGCAGCAAACGCCACTGAGATCAGCATCAAACATACCTTAATCATGAGAAATATGAAATTAGAAACTTTCAGAAAATCGAAAATTTGGCCTCGATAATGTTCACCGAGGTTTCACAGAGACAGAATCACTGAAGGTAACACAAAGCGCGAACTTCGAAGCGGCGTTCGATCGGCAACGTACCAGGGTCTTCATGGTGACCGACAGGATAATACTTTGGCTAGTGTGTCTTGACTAAATAAATTGGTTCTGTCGCATCGTAGGAAAACCACCCTTTATATAGGGAATTTACTTTCATTTCGCGCGTGCACCCCGCCAATCGAAAGCCGATGCCCGTTCGCCACACCTACCGTACACTATTTATCCGCGATAGACACAGCCACATACCGTTGCACGTTTCCAGTACATAATGTACAAACGTTGTATAATACGCGTTAAACGTGATAGTAAATGGAGCGCGGTTTATGCAGATAGCCGCATACATGCGTATACATGCGTGCTGAGCATTTTCGTGGCACTTTGGTCGAGCACGCGTGAGACCGTGGGACAGGATCCCGTGGACCCTTGCGGCTTGGTAACGACTCGTTTGTGACGTGCGGATTGTGACAAATATTCCCAACCCCTCCCCCCTTTCCCTGCCGGGGTGCCATCGAAATCGATAAGAACAGAATGTAGTGACAATGGCAAAGGATACGCCGAAACGCGGGGGTGTTCGGTCGTTCGGATGCGGGGAAAAATATGTGCGGCTGACGAAACGAGAAGCTGACGCAAAGAGAGATCGCAATCTCCCAGCTGATCGGGCGACCGTAATTGACGTTGCAATTAATTGCATAAAGTGGAAGGTGCGTGTAGAAAATCACCTACGAAATTATGCAATCCGGTGCTCAGTCCGGAGAGCGGAAAACAAAATTCCGAAATCTTTACGAGCCGACAGGAATACTTTTCATTTTCATTTTCCAGTCTCCAATCTGCACGCGCGAGAATGATTTAATGTTATTAAGAAAATTATTATTGCATTTGAAAAATTCGTCTATCAGCAAAAAAATTTAGAAAGAGTGATAAAAATCGGTTCGCTGTTTCACAAGTGATTTCTTTGACATGAGTGAAACAAGAATAAGAATTTTCTATGTTTATTCATTATTCGAGGACTTCTTATGCGAAATTTTTTTATTATTCAAAAACAAGAATTGTAGAATTTTGACAAGAAGATATTCTAATTTATTTCCTAACGCAGAAAACATAAAATGAGACGCATTAATCTAGTACATTGATTATTACAAAACATAGTAACGTATCTTTCACGTGACTCACGCCCGACAGTCCGACTATCCATATGTAAAAGACGAACGTTTGTTTAATGATTGTAATAGTTCTTTTGTCTCGATGCTGTAATTCACGGTGACCTGTTACACCTTTTCCGCATTTGTTAAGCGTGCGTGCGTGCGTGCGTGCGTTTCGACCTCACGTGTGTGCAACGCTATCTGCGTATTTCGTCAGCTTCTTGAGCGTCTAGAGAACGAGTTTGAGATTTCAATATCGGGCACGTTTCATTGACGTCATACGTAGGTACTGACCTCTCCCGCCGAGAGGGTCCCTCATTCAGCCGTGCCTCCAACGACTCCGATCCGAATAGATTGTACCATTTCCACCCGAGTGGAACGCAGTTTTTCTTCTATCAAGTGCAGATTGTTTGTCCCGATCCAGGCGCTGCACACGCTTCCACCCAATGACTAAATACTCCCAATGCGGTTAACGTCTAATCGCTGAATCAATGTTTATTTATTGCATAGCATGCATTGTTTTATTATTTCGCATTGCAAATACTTTATTTCTGATTTATATTAAAAATTTATATAAAATTCGTTGTTTTAATAAACCAAAATATACATGATGCAATATTTTATAAAATGTACAAAATCGTCAAATCCTAAGCAGAATTATTAGATTAATTTGCATAAATTTTCCTCTTTTCCAAATGACGCAAATGAGTAAATTAGCTCCGATCGATAAGATGTCCTTTTGTGTTTGTCACGTCCTCACAGTCATTCTGTAATCCATAGTGCACGCGTTCTTAATTACAACAGCCTCCGGTTTCCCCCGCTGATCACGCAGTTTCGCGTGTCGCAAATCCTTGCAGCCACCCAACCTGTTTTACGATTGCTATGAAATTAACGATCCTGGTGATTATATCGGTGTCACCGATCGGCAGATCAACATTCTCTATAGTTCTCCATGATTCGCGTGGTTCAGTCGTTCATGGAATATTAAACGATCTGATAGTTACTCGGTGTCACGCTAATCGTTTCAACCCCTTTCGTGTCGAGAGAAAAAAATGAAGCACGGACGAAGGGCGGATAGGATAAAAGGATGAATTATCTTGTTGATCCTGTCGCAGCTCTCACTTTCTGCCGGTGAAAACAGTTACTGCGTCGCGTTCCTATCAAGATTCGTCTTACGTAAGTCCCGGTAACACGCTGGTAAACCTGGATCAGGATTTTTCGGCCGTATATCACGCCGAAGAATGTACAAGGATAACCCACGTTTCTCTTCTTTTGATTCTTTTAAAGGGAATAAAATGTATAGTAAACATTTTTCTTATCATCTCGGGACTGGTTTTATCTCGATTAATGAAAACCGCAAAAATTCAATAGCGAAACATATATTTTTTCTAACAGCTTACGTTTACGATCATTGATAACGTGTAATTACTTATCTGTGGAATATGTAAAATGCGACTCTGTTGAATTGCAATGGTGATTTTTTTATTTACTGTACTATAACTAGTAATACACGTGTGACAACGCATTGACGTAACAGGGTACGGTGCCCCGATACGTGAGAAATTTTACCGCTACACACGGGTACACACCCATTTCAATAGGCCGTCGAAACATTCGGACTACGTATTTATGGACAGACTGGTTCACGAGCGCAGATGTTTGACGTTGCATAGAAAGTTACGTCAGAAAATGAACGAAACCTTGTTATCGACTATGACTGTAACAATTTCACGTCACACTTTTTACTCGCTGATTATACATAAATTGAAAAATTATAGAAAAAAGTGCCAGTTAGTAGAAATTTATTTATTTAATATTTATTCCCAATTCTAACGATTTTTCATTAACAGCTTTGCTTCACCTCGTTCGTTCCTGAATTAAAAATAGAGAGATTTCATTTTCAATTGTATGTCTCTCTGCATTATTTTTATTTAAATAATAAATTTCTATTATGCAATTACTTAAAAAAAAGTGAATAGAAATTGATTTATTTATTATTTATTCCCAATTCTAACGATTTTTCATTAACAGCCTTGCTTCACCTCGTTGATTCCTGAATTAAAAATAGAAAGGTCTCATTTCTCTATACCTAATCAATTGCATCATTCTGTGCACTGTTTACATGCACACATATGTCATGCAGAAATGCTGTACTGGAAATATATGAACTCAATCATGTGGTACGAGGATTTTGTATTCTATCAATGGTATAAGAACCTGTTGTCTCCGATTGAACTGGGTCGGGTCACACTGGTAACAACGGAACAATACGTGGCAAGGTTAATTCCCGAGCGTAGCGAGTGCTAATTCAAAACGACCATGGCAGAGACCTTCTTGCGGCAGGTCACAGACCATGAAGATTAGTTACGTAGACGAAGAAGCGCCGCGGGCGTTTCCAGCCGCCAGTAATTCCTGTCCTGCTGGATTATGTGCATGCCCGTTGGGCATGATAAAAAAAAAGGATGATGGATTCGATTTATAGTCAAGATCAATGTCAAATAGATGCTGCAAAATTATTTCAGTAATCATTATAATAAAGAAACATGAGTAGTTTTAATATTAATA